CCTGCTGGCCTTGTGAAAACCACTGAGGTGAAAGTCATCTGCTTTTGCCTTCCGTGTGAAACCACAGTATCAGTAGTTCTGCCTCACCAGAATGTTGAAACATCAGGGACCAGATCCTGATCAGGTGCTTCTTACTGTAAATACCCATGCTATGAGAGATCAGAAGTTGTCTTTTTTAATTTAGTTTTTCTCTCAATTTCCTTTCTCCAGCCTTTTCACCCCACCCCCAGCTCTAAAGCACTCTTTGGTCACTACTCGCTCAGGTAGCTCTTACCTCTGTAACAAACAGCTACAAAGGGTAACAGCTGCATGCTTCAGAGCAAGTTACACAAGTTAACTTCTGGGTAGTTAGGTAAATGTGCCCCAAAACATCTGGTATTGTCCATCTTCCTTTATAGAAACAGGAAATATCTGTTGGAACATCCATCCTTTAAAGCAATTATCTGAAGTTAGAGACCAGTATTCCACAAAGTGTTTGTAAAGAGGTGAACATGACAGGAATCCTCCTTGGTGAAGAAAGATGATTCTTAAAAGAGCCATAACCCAGACATAACCCAGAAAGGTACTTAACATACCCACTGCCTCCTGCAGGTTTTTATACAGGAAAGGATCAAACTGTAGGACATGTTGTCATCAGCGTGAAATCCTTCAATCCCAGATTTTCTAGAGCATTTTTAGGCTTGCTGTTTTTTTCCCTACATTAAATTAGAATGTTCGTGGAGGGAGATTTCAGAGTATAAAGTATTTTCAGAGAAACAGTACCATTTTCCAAGAGGACACCAGCAAAACCAAAGGTACTTTCCCCCCCCACATCTCACACAGGATGTTTACCAGTATAATCGCAGAACCTGAATGGAGCAGTTTAGGTAGGCATTGCATGTAAGCGTACATCCACACAAAAGATTTTAGAACTTCTTGTAGCTAGGTCAGTGCAGTGCCCTAAGTTACCATGAGTATTCCCCATCTCAAATATATCGAATTTACACAGGTGAACAGCAGCTGAGGTCCAAACAGGGAAGGATTTATGGTGCATTGCATTAGATCAGGGACTTGGTTTGAGCTGCAGCTCAGTCTGAGCAGTGTAAGCAGCTGATACTGGGAACTTCAGTCACCAAGGAGAAAAGACTGCCCTGTTCTCATGTAAAATTGTCTGTTCTAGTCAAGTCTTTCTTGGTAAGCAGAAGGGCTGTAATTTTTTTCTTCAGCCTGCCCTCCTTGGTATATGCTTTTGCAGCCAGATGGACAAAAAAAATACATCACAGTCAAAGGGAGGGAATGTAGCTTTTGGAAACTGCTGTTTAAAAGCTCTTACTTGATTCAATAGTGTTATTCTGAAAAAAGATGACATGAACAGGATACTTCACAGACCATGGCCACAACACATGAACACCCTTGTGCTGTATCTAGGAACAAGTCACAGGTAGCATTAAAAGCTGGGCAGGCTTTGAACATTCGCTCCTGCCAAAGGCTTTAAGGATCCAACAGTCCTCTCAGCCATGCAGTTGGTGCAGCACTGCTATGACAGCTGGGGGCACTAACACCTCCTTCCAGAAGCAACAGAAGCATGGGGTGTGCTTTTGGAGCTGACAGCAAGTGTTGAGGATTACAAGGTCACACACTACCTATACACCTCAGCCTTTAACTTACTGACAAGAGAGACTTCTTCCCTTCTCCCTACCACCTTCAAAGTACAAAAGCACTATTTTGTATGTATTGTGTTGATTGATGATTATTTTCTTGAAAACCCTCTTTGTATGATGTAGGGCAGGTGTTTATCAGTGAAGAAACTGCATGCGTCTGAATACAAAAATAAAATACAACTTTTCTTTCAAACACTTTTTGCAGAGACCTAAAACTGGACAACGTGATGCTAGATAAAGAAGGCCACATCAAGATAGCTGATTTTGGAATGTGCAAAGAAAATGTTGTTGGTGACAACAAGGCAAGCACTTTCTGCGGGACCCCGGACTACATTGCTCCTGAGGTCAGTACATCACTGCCACGCACTGCAGGGACAGATTTAACACACCGGCGTTAGAATGGCCATTGTGATTAATCACCCCTTTGTAAACTAATAGTTCAGAAATGTAAAACTCTAATTAGCACAGACAAAAAAGCTAAATCTTAATTCTCTATAGAAGATACTTGAGACTTGTAAATATTCTATAGCTGCAAGTTTCAAAAAGCCATGGTTTTGAAATGTCCAAGTGTTCAGGTTTTGAACAGCTAGTTCTCTCTTCTGCCTTTACAGCTGGCATACACACAGGGCTCCCACAGAACGGATGTGCGTGCACTGTAGACTGTGAGCAGACTTGTGCCCATGCAAACAACCAAAATTCAAAGCAAACGCAGCTTCTAAGGGGAGTCTCACCAAGTTAAATTCCCTGTGTTATAGCTGTTTTTTTATCTGATTTGAAAGTAGTCCACGTAAGGTAGTTAGCTTTTAAAGCTATAAGCTACGCCATAGGCCGCTTGGTAGTAATCTACTTTTCATTGCTACTTGCTTCTCCCTTCATCTTGCAAAGAAACTAGAGCAGATGTTTTCTAATTATATGGTTATTTAAAGTTAACAGAGAAAATTTCTGCATGAGATCAAAGACCTGCCCACTGAGCTGTCCACCTTTCCACAAGGAGCAGCCAAAGATAAAACTACGGCTGTGTATAAGTGCTAACAATTCGTCACATAGCTGGATTTCCTCCTCCCCCTAAATACCCTAGTTATTAAAGATTCTCACTTAAAATCCCTGTTCTGTTTTTTGGTACATGTTGCTGGCTTTTACTAATTACTTGCATTTCTTCCTCTGCGCTGCTTCTGTGGAACAAGATCCTGCAAGGTTTGCGGTACACATTCTCTGTGGACTGGTGGTCATTTGGGGTCCTGCTGTATGAGATGCTTATTGGACAATCGCCTTTCCATGGAGATGATGAAGATGAATTGTTTGAGTCAATCCGAGTGGACACCCCTCACTACCCACGCTGGATTACCAAGGAATCAAAAGATATATTAGAAAAGGTAGGACTGATGACAGGTGAGTGGATTGTATTTGTCCAGGGAGGGACAAATCTAGGCTTTTAAAAGGAGCTGTTTATCAGCAAGCAAATTACTTTTACAAAGGGAAAGCCAGGTCAGATTAATTACTAATGGCCTGTTTACCGTTAGCCACTTCTGTTCCTTTAGCAGTATAGCCATTATTCTTCCACTGCCACCTACCTTTTGAGCAGACATCAGGCTTTACCAGGTATCTTCTCTTCCAGCTATTTGAAAGGGATCCAACAAGACGCCTTGGGGTCACTGGGAATATCAGAGACCACCCTTTCTTCAAAACCATCAACTGGACGGCGCTAGAGAAGAGGGAGGTGGACCCTCCCTTCAGGCCAAAAGTGGTACGTGGGTTATTTGTTCTGTAGCAGTACTGCAAGTGTCAGCCTAGGGGTAAGGGGTGATTTCTACTCATTAGAGTTTCCAAGTGGGCAAAAAGATGCTTCTCTGTACTACCAAACTTAGAACCGCTGGTAATGTACAAACCTAATGTTACCTGAAAAAACATCTAGAGAACAGACCGTGTGTTACTCGGTCTGTATCACTGTGGGATGCTGCTGCTTCACCTCACCTCGTTACAAATCCAAACCAGTGTGTGTGTCCCCCCCCCGCCCCGTTAGTGGTACAGGTAAATGATCTGGACATAACGCAGTCTCTTTATAATCTACTTATGTACTCGATGGAGGAGAGCTGTCCTGTTCAAGAACATAAAGGCTTCATGTTGCATGTTCCCATAGAAATGGGAACTCTGGAAGCATAAGGATCCCACAAGCAATAACCTTTGGAGGTTGAGAGTGTAAAGCATTGTCTTTAGTAATGTGAATTTCTATGAAATAGGCACAAATAATTTATCCAGGCACAAAGCAGCTGCAATAGGGTACCGCTTTTTTCTCTGAAAAAGTACAGACTGTAAAATTTCAGTTAATGGCAAGAAATGTTGAGTTTAAATGTAAATGCTGCATTGCTTTTGTCAATAAAATTCTATAAAACATTATCACAAACCCAGGTGGTTCTTCTCCAAAGCGACCTGGTGCTATTTGTTAACAATACGCAATTGCCCAGTTATGATCTTGTAGTACTGTTAAAACATGCAAAAAGGAGATTATTCTCTAAAAGGGAGGAGAGGAAGGAGCTCAAGAAATAACTTCCTAACCTTTTGTATTTAAGCAATTTCTTCTGGAAGAAATTACAAAGTTTGTTTCCAACTATCTTCCCTCTCTAACACAGAAGTCAGCAAGTGACTACAACAACTTCGACAGAGAATTTCTGAGCGAGAAGCCAAAATTATCTTACAGTGACAAAAACCTGATTGAGTCTATGGATCAGTCTGCATTTGATGGATTTTCTTTTATTAACCCTAAATTTGAACAGATCTTAGACAAGTAAGTCTCTGAACAGTCTGACTTTAAAGCAGAGTTAAATGTTATAAACCGAAACCTCCCAAGTGTTACGTGTTCCAACGATGTCAATACTTCAGAATAATACACAGTAGCGTGATTAATTACGTCCAGCTGCTGATTTATTGGCAGTGTTCTTTTATGCATGATTGGGTTTAAGGTCTGTGAATCATGTGCGTTATTTTCTCTATTTGGGAAACTGTAAATTCTGTTTGGTACTTGAATATAGTTGTGTGTTTTATATATATATATGCTGTATATTTTGCTCGAGAGAAAACATTGGGGAACAGAAGATGTCTTTTTAAAAAGTGTTTGAGCCCTTGGTTCTTTTATTTGTCTTCAGTTAAAAGAAAGTTACATTAAACTTTCATTCATGGCTTTATCTTTTTTTTTCTAGAAATATACAATTAAACTCCAGTTGTCTTTTTAAACTACAGTAAAATAATGTCTAAGCCCTGATCACTTACAAAAATAACACAAATCTTTTGGGATAATGAATCAATGAAGAATGAGGCAAAAGCAGAGACTCTAGTGTAACACTAGCTATTGTGGGAGACACCTCCGTGCTGCTCTGACTGCTGTTCCATAAAGCCCGTCTCTCAGAGCAGTCAGTGCCAAGCACAGTCAGCCTTCCTCAATCACGCTAAATATTTATTCTGAGGGAGTGTAAGTGTAAGACAGTATGGCCGAAGCACCCGGCAGCAGCCACAGCATTCTGCCTGGGAACACGAGTCTCGGCTGTCAAACTCCACTTTCCAGTAACAGAAATATGCCAGGTGATCACAGCAGCTCACCAGGAGAAAAGCGCCAGGTAAGGACCCTGTAGGGCCTTAGTGCCCCTTGCCTAGTCTAATGGAGAGGAAGCGTCTTGCTTAACTGGCAAACACAAAATCCTTCCTCCACTTTTATTTGCTTGTTAAATACAGCAGCTGTGGCTCCTTCTAGTTGCCATAAAACATGCCCAAAACTAGATCGTGCTTTGTGGCAAAACCTACTTCTGAATTTTCATTTTTAACCATTAACAAGAAAGAAAGTTAACCTAATTACTGCAAAGCTCTTTCTAAAACTCTTTTCTCCTTGCAGTCAGCTCCTAAAACACAGAATGAAGCAGGGACCCTTGCTTCTCAAAAGCTTTCTGTATCTTGTAACGCTACTGCAAATGATTTAATTCTCTCAACCACTGAGCAGGTGGAAAAAAACGTACTGGTGAGTATCAGTTTGTCCAACAGTTATACAATGCCACGGAGCTCTTGGGAGCACCCTGTAGCTTCTGGGCTATTTCAGACTTAACCCCGCTGAAAGAGCAGGAGAAAGCCATCACCCCTGCCCCCAAATAAGACTTTGTAGAGACTCAACAAAAATACAGTGCTGCCTTTGTTTTTCTTCAAAGAACAGCTCTAGCTTACAGTTGTAATTCCAGTAATGCCAGACCTGGACGTCATCTTAAGTGTACAGTAGACCAAGGCTGGAATGGTCAGAACACAGCTGGCAATTCCAAACAGACAGGGTCTACCTAGCTACCACTGCACGCTCTTACAGACCCATCAGAGGGGGAACAAACACTGCACTGCAAGGTGGTGACACTGAGAGCAGCAAACTTGGCTTTTTCCCCTTCCAGTAACCTGCTCAGCTATCTCTGCTTTGCCATTTTTCCCTAGAAAGTTACTCTGCTTTCAGGGGTGAGTGGTGGATGCTTGTACACAAACAGCTGTGGTTGCCAGCAGCGCTGGGCTTGTAATGAATTACACGTTGTTGCTTGCGGGAACGTTTACTCACTACACATGAGTAGGCTTTGCTCTGGAGCAACAGGTGCCAAACCTGCTCAGGAGGGACCCTGCTTTTCACACAGCAACTCTTTCAGCTGGCATTTCACTGACTTACCTGGAGCATCTCCTGCTGCCACAGGTGCACTTTCTAGCAGCCCAACTGCGCCTGCAACCCCGGGGCAGAGACAGCTTTCCTCCCTGGAGCAGTTCCTATTTCCTCCTGTACCCTACCGTTTAGCCACGGGCTTTGTGTTAACTGCGCCACCTGAACAGGGAGTTGCCCTGCCACAGACATCGGCTCATTACAGCAATCAGAAATGAAAGCTCCGTGGGTGGGTCGTACACCTTCAGGGCCCTCCTCTGCTGAACTGCCACACCCAAGGGCCGCCTCAGGGACAGCAAATGGACAGGTTTGCTCAAGCATCGCAATCTGCGCCATCCTTGTATTACAGGGAGATGGAGGTGCTAAAGAATTTTGTCCAGAAAGCAGCCTAAAAGCTCTAAAACAAACAAACAAGTTTCCCTCCCCCACATAAACACACAGTAGAATTAAAAATGAAGAGAACACTCCTTCCACCTAGCAGAGGAGATGCAAGCGGTTACCAGCCAAGTATACAGTGATCAACAAGACATGAAAATTTGAGTACCTAATTCTAAACCACAAAATAGTAACTAATTGTGTGTTGTTATCCTTCAGAATGACAAGTATCCCTGCAAACTTAATGCCACTTACCTAACCTGTACATGCAAATTTGTACTAGGAGGCAGCATTTTGCTGTTGACTTTCAGCTTTCTCAAAAAAGCAGCAGCATTTGGAACACAATACAAGAACAGTATGTAGCTTGGAGAGTAGATCAGATCTTAAAATATCAATGACCAGGTGAAATTAATAAAGTCTTACCTTTCTCCTCCATTGTGTGCAAATCTTGACTTCTATTTATTTAACTGATCTTCCAACTTCTTCCTCAGTTAGTGAATTTGTTACTTAAATTATAATTATTTGTCACATTAAAAGCAAGCAATGGGGTAAATTAACTTAATTCTTACGCTTATGTGTAAGCTCTCTTAACTAAGCTACATTTCCTATGCTTCTGAAAGCCATGGAAACCTGCTCACCTGCAGAACACTCATCTGGCACTTCAGCTGCTGCAAATGGGCACAGAAAGAATCACATGCCAGCACACGTTGTAACACTTGATCTTTATTATTCGGATCAAAGGTCAAATGATTACATTTGTCTGAAAGACGAGGACGAAGGCCAACGATGTAAGAAAAGACAGTCTAATCCCATTTGAGAGCCTGCATCAGAGCTAGCAAGCACACTGAACAGTCAGAAGGCAGTAAAATAAACATGGGTACAGATACACAAGGTCAGGATCAGGGTTTTCACCTCCCCTGTCAGTGACGGTTCTGTCAGGAGGGGGGACAGAGGCAGCTTTTAGACAGTGACAAGAATCTGCAGTTCTTAATACCACCTTTCCAGGAAGGCAGGTACACCTGGGGACAACCGAGGACTTGCTTCAAATCTATATTCGTTGTCTACGCTCGCTCTCACCAGCTAGAATGGGCCGGATGCAGTCAGTGATTCAGTACTTTCCTAAAGCAGAACTACTTTTTTTTTTTTTCTCTTCAAGTATCAGCATAAGAGTTTATTTACACTTGTACACAATTCTTTTTACTGAACACCCAACTTAGTAAAATACTCATCACAGTATGTTCAAAAGCAGGCTATAAAAATACCTACTATACATAAAACATTTAGCCTCAAGGAATTTTACAGCACCTCTGAAAGTCGAGAGAGGTAAAACAACAAAAGGGAGAGAGGGGAGACGCCAGGCTGTGCTTGCCAGTGAAGAGATGCAGCGCTTGGGCTCAGCTCTCATTGGAGGAAACCTTTCCTTCCACCACATTTCTGCAGCCAGGTCTGAGCTCAAGAAGTACTGCAGTCTGCCAGTAACACTCCACTTTTCTAACACAGGCTCCAAGGATTTGAGCTCTGTGACTACAGCTGAACTCTGACTTTCTCAACTTAAAAACTGTTTAACCACGCCTGGTCGTGGCTGGATGGTGGAGGTCTGGAGGAGCAAGGGCTGCCTGGAGCACAGCCCTGCTTTCCCACGCTGAACACACATCAGATCGGGAGTAGAAATTACTTCTATGTTTTTTGCCACAAAGGCGGCGCTGTTAACCACACATCAATAAATTAACTTCTCTGAGCAGTGCTGTGTGTCTCTCTCCTCACACAGTAACTACAGACATGGCTGAATTAATAAAGATCTGAAATGGGCATTATGAAACGCATGGATCACACACACAAAGCTTTAGACAGCAGCGCTTGAAGCAAGTGTTTCTGCTCATTCTGTACCCTACACACTCCTCTTCTGAAATGGAACCCAGGGATACGGTATGGCTTACTTCCAGAGCTGAATATATTGCTGAAATTAGCTTATTTAAAAAAAAAAAATATATAATCACAACAGCAGCATGTTATTTTATAAACCCTGCACAAACAAAAGACTATTTAGCCCTTGCCTGCAAAACTACGTTACGAGGGCCCGGTATCTCACACAGGAATTGAGAAAGATAAAAAAACCAACCAAACAACCCCAACAACATACACGGTAAAAGCTCAACTAGCTGAAGAGAAGTCCTTAGAAAAACACATTCCAATTACCAAAGAATAGTTCTCCTTGTTTCAGAACTAAGAGCCAGCAGCAGTGCTGGCAGCTTGCTTCAGTTGTCTGGTAACACACATACAAAATATGCTTCGATTTAGTACAGTTAAAAGGTCGTGGCTGCAACAGACATAGAAAATTCCATTTTTAGCACTGGAGTTTCACAAGGTATAAAATAGCAGCAAAGAATTGGGATGGTGGAAGATGCTTAAAACCAACACAAAAAACTCAAGGCAGGTGTGCCATGTATAAATAACGTCAGAATTTTCCTGGTGTTTTTCTTGCATGAGCTGTTAGAATGGTTAAACTCCACCTAACCTTTCTGTACTGTTTCCTGATGTATGTATTAAATGTGGCTTTAAGAGAGAAACATATACTTTTACGTTGAAATTCATTCCAAAAATTGCCTAAAAAAAAAAATATATCACAGCACTTATAAGACAAGCAGCTTCTCCAGCCCTTGACAGTCTGAATCCTGCTCTCCTCCCTTCCAGTCTCAGAAAAGCTGCTCATCCCCTGCTGGAACTGCAGCAAAAAGGAAACCTCTCTCTCTATTCACCATCCAGGCTGCCAGCTATACTTACATTCCTGTCCCCTGCTTAATACTACACCTTTCACTGCTCTCCAAACTACAGCTGGCCCCTGGAAGATGTTGAAATCTTACTAAAATAGCAGAATCTTTCAGGCAGCAAATCTAGTTTTAATGCTTTTATTTTCCACAGAGAAATTCTCCCCATTTCAGAAAACTTTAAGTGCTGGTTGGCAAACCAAAGCTCAATTTAGAACACAACAAAGCTATCCGAGCTGACAGGCTTTCCCATTTAAAGTAGTTTTGCAACATGAAGCTTCCAATGCTCAAAATGCAGAATTTCACCTATGTTAAATATGCCATCGAAAAAACCTCCATGTAATTCCAGGCAATCATTCACAGTAAAAATAA